CTTTCTTTCACTATTAAATATTTTTTTTTTTTTTAATATACTATAAATATAATAAAAAAAACAAAAAAAAAAAAAAAAAAAAAAAAAAAAAGGGGGGGGGAGGAAGAAGAATATCTACATGTTGTAGTCCTTCTAAAAGTTATTGTGTGGTATTATAGGATGTGATACATTGTAGTTGACTGTAAAGAAGGAAGGCCTTTAGAAGCATGGTTAATAATATAAGTTCAGTTGGTAGAAGTTTGTTCAGTAGTAAGTTTCCTAGAAAGTCAATCTGTTGTTGATGTTGTGTTGTACAACTCTGCTTCTCTCTAGTTTTTCACTAGGGTTCTGTTCAATATCTAGTGGAAATCTGCTGAGCGATGCACAACATGAAGTTTTGTTTGCAACTTCAGAAAGGCAACCTATAGTCTCTTAAAGAACTGCCATGCAGTAAATTGGGATTAAGTGGTGATTTTTTTTTTTTTAAATGTCTTCGAGTCACTGTTGACTCCTAGTGGTTGCCTGGACTAGTCCCTGCAATTTTCTTGGCAAGATTTTGGAAGTGGTTTGTCATTGCCTGTTTCCTGGGGCTGAGAGAGAGAGTGACTGGCCCAAGGTCACCCAGCTCGCTTTGTGCTGAAGGTATGATTAGAATTCACAGTCTCCTGGTTTCTAGTCTAAAATGCTTTTAACCACTACACCAAACTGGCTCTTCAAAATAAGAGAAAGTTTATTTTTCTCTTTTTTTAAAAAAAAATGCAATATATTGCTACAAATAGTGATTGAGTGGATGATCAAAGAAAAAAAAAGAGAAGGTAAGAATATATGTTCCCTTTAGTCGTCAAGGCTTCAGTCATTTGTGAAGTCTCGTAGAAGGTCTGGTTTCTATCTCCCAGTGGAAGGCTTTGTTTCTATCATTAAAACTGACATTCAGACAGGACTCACTTTGAACTGTAATTTGTCTTTATATTATTTCAAAAATATTATTTATATGTTTATGCATGTTGGCAGAGGTGCTCTTACACTGTCATTTTTTGGGAGGCTATTCATCCTACAGTCAAGTCCAGATTCGTCATAGATACCCTTTGACATGCTGATCTTTGTTTCTCTGGTCTGCTGAATTGGAGGTAAGTGTACAACATGCAAACCATCAAGCCACAATATGGCAGCACGCTTCAGAAATGTGCTCGGTTGCCTCACCTTTCAGCAACTGTATACCTCAAGAAAGGGATCCCTTGATGGCATTTTGTGATGAAATCTTGGAACCATTTGGCTACCAAATGAAGGATGTGGTCTATCCTTTTCAAAAAGGCAAAGATTTCACATGTTTACTTTGGCTCCTCTCAATCAAAGCCTGCTGTGATTTCACTATACTTAAAATTAACAATCTGTGTTATGCTCACTGTATTGAATGACTCAGGTTTCCTCCCCCCTTCACCAAAGTATTTGCTAGAGAAATAGTAAAAGCAGAGAAGTAACCCAACCCTTTGCCGTCTGTAACCTACACTTTTACTGTGCTGATTGCAACAGTGATGATCTGAGACCAATTCTTTTTTATGATCAGCTGAAAGGCTTATACATATTTTCATTTTAATATCTGAAGCCCATATTTGTGACTTTAAGTTTTTATGCTGCTAACTCTAGATGGACTCATAACAGCTTACACTCAAAATAAAACACTAGTAGCAGCAACATACATTAAAATATACAGTCAACCACAAATATTAAAATAATGCATACCAAGTTTATGGTAAAATCCACCATAGTCAGCTCAAAACGATAAGCGAAACTCCTTTCACAATCAATCAGCACCCTCCCTCATTTTGACCATCAACCAGGCAGATAGGCAGTCTGTCTCACATGCAACCTGCATGTACGTTATCAATCTATCTTTCCCTCCCTCTTACCCCCACCTTTTCTTCCTCTCACTCACATAAGCCTTCTTTCACCTAGCCATTCTATGCATCTGATGAAGTGAGCTGCAGCTCTTGGAAGCTGATGCCTTTTGATAAAATTCGAAAGTTGGAAAAGGTACCATCAAATTCTTGATTCTTTGAACCTGAACCAGGTAATCCACTTCTTCCAGAGTGATCTATAGCTGTTTCCCCACCACCTTCTCAACAACCTTCCCCAAAGATTAGTTGGATCTAGAAAAGGCCTCTTAAGGAGGGACACACTACAGCCTCTTGCAAGGCTGCAGGCAACATTGTCTCAGGCCATAAGGCGTTGACCATTTTCCTAATGCAGTCACTCACATTCCCATCTACACCCACTCCCACCACAGAGCCAGGTGGGGCATAGATCCATCCCATAGGTGCCAGAGGGCATGCAAGAGACTACTCTACCACTTCATTAGAGTCTACAGTCCAAACAAAATCCCAGATTATCATTATCATTAGTTATCACCCTAGGAACCACCTTGGACACTGCCTACTGGTGAAACCAAGCATCTTTGTTTGGGTTGTGCAAAACTGGTGCAGTGCTCAGGTGTAGGATCTACCTGCCGATATTGATTTTTATTAATGTATAATGAAAATAGATGTATTCGTTTAATGCCTGAAGGATGCTGGGGAGGGAAAAAAGGCAAACCCTGACATTATTGTGGGAAAATATTGCAACAGGAGAAGTATGTAAGGGTAACCTTAACCATTAATATGTCTGATTGACAGAGGCAGCCCTGCCATCAAGAGAAAGAGAAGAATTTGGTGGTATCATTCATGCTTGCTCCACCAGCAGGGACAACCATTTCTGAGAACAACCCAGGTGGTGTCAACTGATGGTCAAAATCTGGTGTGAGGTATGAAAAGCTTGGAAATATTGTAACCAGTGCTCCTGCCTAAAGATTTAAAACGACTCTTTTTGAATTTTTACCATAGTTACATTATTTTATCTTTCAGACATAATATTTACAACCATAGGCATCAGGCATCTGTAGTTCTTTACTCACCAAAAGGAATTAATTAACAGCAGCTACATTGAGTTTGCTTCACATCGCAACTTCTATGTTGTCCTGCCTTGATAAGTCTCTGAATCTGTCCCTAAGTGGAAATGGTTTTCTTGTAACTTAAGAAAGAAGAAAATCAGTGATGTATGGAGTGAGTGGCTGTGGGAAACATGTCTCTACAGTAAAACAGGATGATGTTTCTTCTCAAGCAAACACACCCTGGCAAAACAATGCCTATAGTTGTAGTATGTTTTAAATAGTCCTGCTTATTTACTGTGAGCAGATTCTGAAACAAGTGGGTAACAAGAGGGACTGTGAACACAAGTAGATTTCAGTTCAGGAACATCTTAGAATAAACATTTAGGACTTCTGAGTCTCAGTTCATGAAAAAAAAATATTTTTTTCATATGGTACCTAGTGGTAGCACTTCAAGTGTAGTCTTACTTCAGCCCACTTTATTTGGTCAAAGGCATCATGGGGCTGGGGAGGAACGTAGTGTGGGGAGCAAGGAACCCATTTTTTTTCCTGACTTGTATTCAGTTCCAGAAAAGAAAATGCAGAATCTGAATAGACACCCTCATTTCTAAAGTTCAACCAAGGAAGTCTGTGGTTGAAACAACATATAATATTAGACTTCCAGTTAGTCACTATGATGTACCTCTTAATCCTGAGGAGATATTTTAGCTCCAGGTTTGTGCTATATAGTCATATCAGAAGCTAGAGCGGGCATAAAATGTTTCTCCATGATACAACAGCTCCCACATGGAATGAATAAATCAGTGAGGTCAGTGGGACTGTTTTAATTGGTATAAATCTGGTCTGTTTTATGGTCTCTGTGAATAGGGCACTATTCTAGCCCAGTATCAGTTAAAATATAGGTGATTCAGTACATTTTTTTTTTTTTTTGGAATATGCTCTGGTACTCTGGAACATCTTGCCTCCAGAAATCCAAATAGCACGCTCCAAAATGGTTTTTCAGAATGAACTGAAATGAAGCTTCTCTGTAGAACTTTTAACTGATGAAGAACAAAAGGAAATTGCTTGCTGGATTTTGGGTTCTGGGGTGGGGTTATGTTTATGGTTTTCATGGATTTCAAATTCAGCTTTTTTTGTAAACCACTGGCAGCCTTTGTGGAGTTGGCGATATGGAAATGCTGTAAATAATGAATAAATTCACTTTATATAGATTAGATTAATTAGATTAGATTGTCAGAGACTAAACATACTTAACCAACTGAATGCAATTATAAGAAAAAATAGTGGGGAAGCACAGAAAACATGCAAAAACTTGAACAATGAACTGCAATAAGTATACAATATCATATGACACATAATATTTGTATAGATATTGTTCAGATTGCAAGACTATAGCAAAAGCCACCAAAAACTCCTGGCAACAGAGCAGAGTTTCTTCTAGGCTTTCCAAAATTTGGGGGGAGGGGGGACAAATCATACATACATACATACATTCAATAACTCCATCCAAACCTATTTTAAATATATATTTTTGTGACTTCATTTTATGTAAATTCACCCTGGATTTTTTTTTTTTTTAATATAAATTAGCCCAATATGCCCTGGTGATGGTCACTTATGTCTTGCTTGCCACTTGGCTGGACTAGTGTAGTGCCTCTACATGGCACTGCCTTTGGAAATAACCCAAAATCTCCCACTGGTGCAGACAGTGGCAGCCACATTACTGGCAGGAGTACCCACCATCATAGTATAACACCAATTCTTAAGTTGCTGCTCTGGTTACTAGTATGGTTCTGGCCCCAATTCAAAGTGTTGGTTATTACCACATTGTTACAGTCCTAGAGGGCAAGACTGGGAAATATCTGAGAAGAAGAATCTGCCTATCTGCTCTCGGTATTTACAGAGGGCCTGCTAAGGGTCTCCCTTTCTTGGAATATTTCCCAGTCCATGGGGTATGGACTAGGCAAGAGTGGTGGTCTCAGTGGTGGCCCCCACTCTTAGGAATATCCTCCCCCCCAGAAATATGGATGGCATTTCACAAGCAAGTTAAAACCATCTTCAAGGGTGCTGTTGGCCCTCATTTGTTTCTTGGAGTATTCTCATGTGTTTTACTTTTTTCTTTGGTTTTTGTATTGTACACTTTATCTTGTTGTTACCCACCCAAAATTCATGAGGACTGGGGCAGGATAGAAATATGGAAAATAAATAAATGAACACAAGCTGTTTATGTAACTTTAAGAACATTAGATTGGGGAGGGAATATATCTGTCAGGATGAATTTTGACTAGAGAAAGATTTTTATTTCACTTAAATTAAATTAAATTAAAATTCTTTCAATTAAGAGAAATGAAACCAATATTGCTAAGCTTTTCATATCAGCCAGTTATAAAATAAATTATACTTAGTAATGAAATGAAAAAGGAATTTTTGCTCCCAAATTAAACACTTTATAAACTCAAATTATATTCTTAAAAATTACAACTTTCTAGAGTGAAATACACTCATAAATTCAAATGTAAGTTTTTGAATGAAAATTGTGGATCAACATTTTTTTTTAAAATGCTCAGCTTGCTAGATTCTAGTTCCAAGAAAAGTATTTTATTCTGAATTGCAAATAGCTGGAACTGGATACTTTGAATCAGGAAATTAAATTTGGTGACATCTGTTCTAGACTCTTTTTATTTTCATCTCACTAAAGCTTCATTCAATAACACTCTATAACATTTATTAAATGCTTCAAAGCCCCATCAGAAAGAGCTGTCAACTTAAATTCATATTTAAAATGGTTTCTTCTGACTGTTAAATTACACCTCAGATTTTAGGAGATTTTAATTCATATATTTCTGCTTTCAAATACTGATTTTTCATATTTGAGTACAAACACTCAGAAGAATTAGTAGGTGCTGAGTGTTTTTATCTTCAGTTTCAATGGCCAATTATTGACAATAGCAATGTTCCCACATTTAATAATATTGGATTACTACTTTTAGCTATGAAAATGAAATACTACTTTTAACAGCAATGAGAATTCTACACACTAACTTTTGCACACACAGACCTCCCTCTCTCCCTTTCCCAACCCCAACAGCATTAGGTATCTCACAGCAGGGTCTGATGACAAAGTCATGAGATTCTATTAAGTCTTAGTTTTTGAATCTTTTATCCGAGATAAATGCAACTTTTGAAGAATAACACTCATTGGCTTGGACTTACTCTCTTGAGAACAACAACCTTTATGATGCAAATGCATTTTGCAATGAATTGGCAATGCAAGATGTTATTGCTAAGCCTCTGAGTTTATAAAATACAGAATGAAATTTAAGTCTGTGGCCCAGCCAGGTTCATCAGTGTTAATCATGGAGTATTTACTTCTATGTGAAATGCGATTTCTTTCTGTATGTATTTGCTGTGTCCCCAATGTATTGTAGACTACATTATAAGATAACCACAAATGACCATGACTAACATGGAGGATATATCATCATCTCCTCTCCCAAGAGGACAATTTCTCTGACTCAGAGTAGAGACAATCTAAACTGGAAGGGTGTGAGAGAGAAAGCAACTATCTCCATTATATGGCCATACTATTTGGAGCCTGCCTTGTTTTTATCAGTTTAAAAAGAATGTAGAAACCATACATTATGATTTAGATTCCTTGTAATGATGGAAACCTCAAAGTATGAAGTGCAATACTACAGAACTATTAACTGCAGTAAAAATAAAAATAAAACACACACAAAGGGATAATATAGGCCACAATATATTTTGCCTATAAGAAGTGGGAAGCCATTAACAATTATTGCTAACTTGGATTTTGGAACACTAGGTCTGTTTTTTTAACACATTAAGAAAATTGGAATGGTTTTAGATTCCATCGCAGCATTCTTTGAGATGCTAGGGTATAAAATTGAATACTCTATTTTAAACATGCTTTCTACTAAGTGAAGAGCAATTCTAGAAGTCAGCTATGTTGCATTTTGAGAATATACTTATACAGAATGCATGTTATATCCTAATTATAATTTTTAAAGCTCCTTTTAAAGAATGTGGAGCTTTCTCTATCTCTTGATGGGCCATTTGCAGCTTCTTGGGCCCAGATGGATAAGTCTCCTGTGCTAGGTTTAATAAGCCAGAGGATTCTGGTCCAAATGCCACTGTAGTCAGGTGGGCAATGCAGGCCAGCACTCCATGCAGTTTTATTATTCTGATAACTGTTTAGTTACTAGTGCTGTGACCTGATTCTGATTGGATAGCACACAAGAAAGTTTTAGTTCCATAAACCCCACCCCAAAACCAAGGTGACAACCAACTGTCTCAACTGATATGTGATGGGAATTCCAGAAGAGAAGAAGGAATTTTGGCAGCACCAATATCTGAAGTCCTCATCCTGACAGAACATTATCAGCTGGTTACTGGGAGTGTTTTTTGTAATCTAGCCTCTTCTCTTCATGCAGCTGGGAAGCCTTAGTTATTTACTGTGAAGTTTGTCAGATTTTCAGTGAAGAATGAAGTCTTAAAGAAAGCTTGATTTACTGGCATCACTGAATAGGGAAAGAAGAAGTCTATTCCCACTTCATATTAAGGAGGTTCAACAATGTAGAAAGGCATTTGGTGCAGTGAAAATCTGGCATAGGAGAGGCATGTTCAATAGTTTATTAAGTATCCAGCAATTTTTTGTTCTGAGATATATGGGATGAACTCCAGAGATTCTTTCACAGTTCTGCAGAAACAAGCTAAACAACTGATTACTTAAGTTCCCACTGAATGGTTTTGGAGGATTGAAAACTTTCCATGCTTGGTTGTGCCTACTGTCAAGTTCAGGGGGCCAGATTGTGTAGCTTCTGCTTCTAATTAGGCTTTTGTTTGTTCTATACAGA